GGAACCTGAAGAATCAGGCTTGAGATATCTACGCGGAACAAACTCTAGAATGTCCTTGGAAACATTGGACATGACGTCACGAAGAATGGTTGCATCGTAACAGGTGAGGAAGCCACACCAATCCAAAGATCTAATATAGTTATTTATTGTGTCGTTATCTACGCAATCGTAGTTTAGGTAAGTCCGAACGGTGCTGGTCTTGTTTGAAAAGGCAAGCGGTAAGCAACAATGAATTAATGCGTGGTCACTGTCAAAAGGTCCTTTTGGTAAAGATTAGATCTAAAATGTGATTATCTCTTGTTGGAGAACGCACCAATTGGGACCAGTTAGAAAAATAGACAATATCTTAAAGAGCTGGAATCTAGGTGGACAGCTATTGGCAAGTCAGTCTATTTCAGGAAGGTTTAAATCACCAGTGATTCTTTTAACATCGAAAGCAGCTTCCGAAATTAATTTAAGGATTTCACAGAATTGTGAATCATCCCTGGCTAAACAATTTGGGAGATTGTTGATACAGTCAATAATTGCCTTTCTTTGCAATGAGAGAATAACAGATGCAAAGCAGAAGTTTCCCTTGAACGAGGAAGCATCCAAGCAATAATGAGAGTGCTTTAGGTAGGATTTAAGGTAAAGAAGACAACCGCCCCCACCGCCTTGTCGTGCGGTCTTGACGGTAAAAATCGAAGTCATCTATGAGAACGGCAGAGTCAGGAATTAATGAGTGAGTCTAAGATTCTGTTACACAGATAATACCCGGCGTCCTTTCGAGAGCAATGACTCTGATTTGGGCCATCTTCTTTATAACAGACCTGGCATTCAATAATATAATATTTAATGAATTTCGAACAGCAATGTTATTGTCGACGGTATTTAGAAGAAACAATTTGGAGGCGGACATGTAAGGTGTGAATTAATGATGCTTGGAGAAAAAGTACCAGCCAGTCTAGAGTTATTGACGTACGGGGAGTCAGCAAGAGAAGGTTAGGCATGAGACCTTAAGAATGTGGGGATATAGTTTTCGAGCATTGGAATGAGAGGGGAGTTAGAACATGGATAGGCTTGTTGGTAGTTTAATTGTGGAGGAAGGGGAGGAGAAGGGAGCCTAGAAGGAAAGTAGAGGCTAGTGGGGGAAGGTAGGCAGCTATAAGAATAAAAGGGTGGGAAACCAGGTCTAGGTTGGAAGTCAAAGGAGGTAGGTTGACTTACCTGAGAGCAACTGGCCTTAAGTGGTGGGAAGCCTGAACTAGGTTGGGGCATAAATGACTTACGGCAATTCACGTATGAATTATTTGCTGGATATATAATAGGGCCTTGATAAGTAACCGGTACGCAGGACAGATAATTATTCAGGGATATAATTGGAGCTGTGGGGTTTGTAGACGTGCTAGACTGTAAAGACTTGGTAGATCTAAGAGAAGGCGGCGTACCCCTAAATGGAACTGTT